AAAAAAAAAAAAAAAAAAAAAGAAAAAAGAAAGAAAACTGGGGAGGTTAAATAAGCATTGTTATTAAGGTTATCTGTAGTACAGGAACTGTTTAAAAACCTTGTTGCAGAATACCTCGGTATGCAGGACTCAAACATTGACCATGATGGTAGGTTTGCTTCAGATGGCATCATTTTTGCCATGCAACTGGCTAGTTTCCTGCAGCTATATAGAACACACTTTACCTTTTTAAACCCTAAACTAAATAAAATGGTGAAACTCCTTAATTTCTGGGTGATCCCACAACCATGCACTCAGGCGAATTCCCCCACCCTCTTCAATATATTATACCCAGGAAATCTAAAAAGCATGGACATTTGCAGTCAGGACTTTGGATACATTTACTGCAGAAGGGAACCGGAGCATGGAATCATGGGAATCCACCTCCCAGGGCCCAGCACATTCACCCTGAGCTTGCACATGAAACAATAATGAACGAGATGTGTTACCTAAAGGGAATGGGATGGAACATGGTGGAAAGGAGGGAATGGGAAGTAGGAGTGAGCAGGGAGGAACACTTTTATTCTTTTGGTATGGTTTTGCCTCTTTTAGGAGTATAGTAATGTTGCACACATTCCAAAAGTAGATATAGGAAAGTGAGGAAGTGGGTGAAAACATAAATACATTAAAATAAACTAGGATTAGGGGGACCCAAAATGGAACATAAACAGAAACAAAGGAACCTAAGCATATTACAAATGAATAACATAACCACGCTAACGGGCATGGGGAAGAAAATAATTAAGTAGCTTTGGGAAACAGTTATTTTGACTGGATACTATAAGACAAAAAGCAAAAATGACTGCACACAAATATCGTATGTTTTTATTTTATTTATTTTTTTTGAAGCAAAGTCTTGCTCTGTCACCCAGGGTGGAGTGCAGTGGCCTGATGTCAGCTCACTGCAACCTCTGTCTCCTGGGTTCAAGCTATTCTCTGCCTTAGCCTCTCAAGCAACTAGGATTACAGGCGCCTGCCACCACGCCCGGCTAATTTTTGTATTTTTAGTAGAGACAGGGTTTTACCATCTTGGCCAGGCTGGTCTTGAGTTCCTGACCTTGTGATCCACCCGCCTCGACCTTCCAAAGTGCTGAGATTACAGGTGTGAGCCACTGTGCCTGGCCTATTCTTATTTTTTTTAATAGAGATGGAGTCTGTCTGTGTTGCCCAGGCTGATCTTGAACTCCTGGGCTCAAGTGATCCTCCCGCCTCGGCCTCCCAAAGTGCTTGGGTTACAGGCACGAGTCACCATGCTCAGTCAAATGTTGTACTTTAGTTAGTGATTTATTTATTTATTTATTTTACACAGGGATATGGTTAGGAATTCTGAGACTATGTGTATATGAGGATTGAGCAAATGAGTAAAATATAGATAATGAGAGCCATGTTTCTCACTGTCTGAGAAAGGCATTGCAAATCTGGAAAGGAGGTAAGGCTAGAATAATCCTGAGACCTTGGACTGGAATCAGAGATGTCAGTGTGAACCCAAGATATATTCTGCAAAACAACCTGCCTATGTCCTTCAAACAAGGCCAATGTCATAAAAGAGGAAGAAAGTACAGATTAAGGGAGACTGAGGAGATGAGGCAGGTAAATGCAAAGCATAATCCGGACTGGATCCAGGAACAGAAAAACAGTCTTCTTTTGCTGTAAAGGGCATTGTTGGGACTACTGGCACATTTAAATAGTTTCTTTTGTTTGTTTGTTTGTTTTTGTTTTGTTCTGCTTTTTTGAGACAGAGTTTCACTCTCATTACCCAGGCTGGAGTGCAGTGGCGTGATCTCGGCTCACTGCAACCTCTGCCTCCCAGGTTCTAGAGCTTCTGCTGCCCCAGCCTCCCAAGCAGCTGGAATCACAGGTGCCCACTACCACTCCCAGCTAATTTTTGTATTTTTAGTAGAGACGGGGCTTCACTATGCATTCCAGGCTGGAACTCCTGACCTCAAGTGATCCACCCACCTCGGCCTCCCAAAGTGCTGGGATTGTAGGTGCGAGCCACTGTGCCTGGCCTGAAAATATTTAAAGATTAGATAATTGTGTTGTATCAATGTTAATTTCTTGACTTTGATTATTATATTGTGGTTATGTAAGGCAATGTCCTGTTTTCTTTGTTTTTCTTTAGCAAAAACACACTAGTATTTAGGGACATTTACTGTTTTCCTTTCCTTCCTTCCTCCCTCCCTCCCTCCCTCCCTTCCTTCCTTCCTTCCTTCCTTCTTTCCTTTTTCTTTCTTTTTTGTTTTTTTTGAGACAGAGTCTCACTCAGTTGCCCAGACTGGAATGCGGAGTTGTGATCTCTGCTTACTGCATCCTCCGCTTCCTGGGCTCAAGTGGTTCCCCTGCCTCAGCCTCCTGAGTAGCTGGGACCACAGGTGTGTGCCACTACACCTGGCTATTTTTTTGTATTTTTGGTAGAGATGAAGTTTTGCCATGTTGCCCAGGCTGGTCTCCTGAGCTCAAGTGATCCTCCCATCTTGACCACCCAAAGTGCTGGGATCATAGGCATAAACCACATTCCTAGCTGATGTTTACTTTTAAATAATTCAGAAAAAATTCTATCTATCACTCTATCATATATACATACATATATATGTACATATATGTTATATATATGTAAAGAAAATGGGGTAAAATAATCACATTTGGGGAGTCTGGATGAAGGGTGTGTGGGAGTTCTCTGTACTATTTTTGCAACTTTTTCTGTAAGTTTGAAATGATTGCCAAATGAAGCATTAACATAAATGCAGATTATTGGATCTCATCCTTGAGTTATTGGATCAGAAGCTCTGGGTCTAGAATCCAGGAGTATGCATGAAGAGCATTACTTACTGCATCAACAATTTTTGTAAAAATCATTTTATTTATTATGATGATGATTTTTACATTTTTTGTAGAGAGAGGGTCTCACTGTGTTGCCCAGGCTGGTCTCCAATTCCTGGGTTCAAGCTATCCTCCTGCCTTGGGCTCCTAAAATGTTGGAATTCCAGGCGTGAGCCCCTGTGCTCTGCCTAAACATTTTATTTTTAAAAATTCCTGTGGACGTGTCTAGAGAGAAGCATCAGAAAATTATTGAGAAGGGTTTTGATCATCATGAAAATCCTTAGCTTCCAGAGGTCCTGTCATACATAGTTTCCCACATGTTTGTGCAAAATCTTAAAGCTGTACATAGCTACTGTATTAGTCTGCTCAGGTTGCCTTGACAAAATACCATAGATAGATGGCTTAAACAATAGAAATTTATTTTTTCACAGTTCTGGATGCTGGAAAGTCCAAGATCAAGGTTCTAGAAAGGTTTGGTTTCTGGTGAAGCCTCTCTTTCTGCCTTGCGGATGGCTGCCTTCATGCTGTCAGCACACAGCGGCGAGAGAATCTCATGAGTCTCTTGTCTCCAATCAGGGCTCCACCTTCCGACATCATTAACCTTAATCATCTCCTTAAAGGCCGTATTTCCCATGCAGTCTTGTAGGGTGTTAGGGCTTCAACATACAAATTTTGAGGGAACACAGTTCAGTCCACAGAGGCTACTACATGACACGAATGAAGTCTAGACATGGTTGTGGCTTTAGTTAGGGCTACACAGCAGATTATGTGTCCTCTCTTCTCCACATTGAATCTGGGCCTTGGGTCAGATTTTTACCGTCTATTGTCTTCAGATCTGAGCCTTGATCTTGGTCCTCTGTTAACTCTTTCACCTTCACTGCCACTCAGGTCTGATCTTGCACCTGGTTCTCTGTTCAGTTTTCTCTGCCTCTTTTTTTTTGAGATGGAGTTTCACTCTGTCACCGAGGCTGGGGTGCAGTGGTGCAATCTCAGCTCACTACAACCTCCCCCTCCCGGGTTCAAGTGATTCTCTTGCCTCAGTGTCCCGTGTACCTAGGATTACAGGCATGTACCACGATGCCTGGCTAATTTTTGTATTTTTAATAGAGACAGGGTTTCACCATGTTGGCTAGACTGGTCTCAAACTCCTGACCTCAAGTGATTTGCCTCGGCCTCCCAAAGTCCTGGGATTACAGGCATGAGCCACTGTGCCCAGCCTGTTCAGTTTTCTCTTTATGCCTACTTCTGTTAATGCTTCTGCCCCTATTGCCCCAGTTTTTGGGGCGTCTAACTTAGGTCTCTGTTAACTATTTCATCATCAACTCATTTCTAGCATGAAAACCAAACCTGACTTCTTTTTATGTTTTCCTCCATTAATGCCTCTGATTAGTGAATTAAATCCAGGTTTCTTAACACCATTAGTTTTCCCACTCTGATTTATATATTAAACCTAGAGCTCAGTTATAGATTTTAGCATTAATGTTCCCATTTTTTGACATTGAATCTGGCAGCTGCTATTTTTTTTTTTTTTTTTTTTT